ATACTGATATTCCCTTCATAAGAAAGTGAATTAATTAGAAATAGCAAAAAGGATTAGGACTGGCCAATTACGATGTCTCTGTGGTGTGCTCAATTGATTTTTATTGCATTCTGTATGTCTGAATAATAAAATGAGTTTGAAGTATTCTGACAGTAACAGCATTCGCCTGTTTTAATTAAGACTAGAAGAGAGATCAAAAGAGGTGGGCTAGTTGAAGGGACACAAAATAGCTAGCATCAAACAGTTTAAGATGCATGTATAGAACTGTAGAGTGGATGAAGCTGAAATTCTTAGAAAGGGAAAGAGAGAAGGTGAAATATCCCATTTCACAAATAAAATCACATTAATATTACATAACTCACACATATCAATATACAGTACATTCTATAATATGCACATTTACTGATTTCACTGAAAGTTCCAGTTTTATCTCCAAAACTTCTTTAAGTTGGTGACTGTATTGACTCAGAAACAGAAGAGAGAATAAACATGAATCATGTTGAATTGTCTTGTGATGCTCTCCTGTGTATTGCAAAGTATTGTTGATTGTAACGGTTTTGCCAAAATGCACATCCTTTCCTGGGTAAAGCCTATGTGACACTATACAATGTTTTGAAATAATTGTATAGCAAGGAAAGCTTTCAAGCAAAACATTTGCACAAAACAGACAAATATCAGTTGAAGTTCATATTCTGTTCTCTCGTAGTCTATCAAGCATAAATATTAGAAATAATGTGACATTATTTGGCCACATGAAATTCTAACAGTTATTGTCCCATATTCTTAACCATTGTGAATCAATACTTCTTTAACATTTTAATCTGGAAGCTGCAGTTGTCTTTCTATACATTATGTAAAATGTATTCATACAGTAGATTTATAAAACATTTGTATATAGTAACAGACAATGTTTTGCTTGTAACATGGAACTGATCACTTTTAGAGGTCTCAAACACTATTAGTGCTCTGTTGAAATGTTTACTGCATATTTAATCTAAAAGTGTAAGCATGGTATGTTAACCCTGCAAGATGAAGTGTTGCTGACTTTTCTTCAGGTCTCTCTTATCACTCAAAGTGGACCTGAAGGTCTTGCCAGACTGTGGGGAGCAGGTGGTGATGCAGTCAGCCTGTATGTCTTGGAAGAAGCCCAGGTCCAGACAGCAGGGGAGTGTTCAGTGTTGTATGGAGGTATGCTTTCTGAACAAAGTGAAAATGAACTCCTAGGGTCCAATGGCCCTGAGCCATATTGTAGCCATCGCTCTGGTCCTCATCTTGCAACAGCAACCATTTCATACAAAATGGAAAGCAGACGTGCTTGACTGCAATGAATGGGTAAATGAACATAACGTTGTATTAGACATAGTATAGCTTTAATGTGGTATATGCAATGCTTGTTTACAATTATACATTGTAAAGAGCCCTGCCATTAAATTGACAGATCCCCAAAACAGTTTCCCAGTTTTGCCTCAACACCTCTATCCCTGCTGTATAAAGACTTTTTGCATTGGGCCTGGCACGAGCCACAAAGACAAATAACTGGACTGTATTGTGTTTGTGCACTCTGTTTTGTGTCTGGTGTGTTGCTGCAATAGATTTAACATGGCACGGCTCTGTACAATGCATTAATGTTAACTTTATTTCCCAAATTAGATCTGTCAGTAATTTAAAATTTGCTGGCCCAGTCAATTAATTGCAATACACTTAGGAATACAACCAAAGTGTTCTTCTAGTTTTTGGTGGGTTTTAGTTGGATTTTCTAAATAATGGTGTAGGGGTATAGCTATCCCATCCTGGCTTTCAGGTCTGTCCTACAGTATCTTTAACACAATAAAAAAGCTCTCAGAGCTCCTAAATGAAATTCAGATGCTGTGCAGAACAAACCCAAAGTCCTGATAAACAGGTCTGGCTGTTGTCTTATCAGAGGGCTTCTTTTTTTGTCTTGATTGCCCAAGTTCACATTCTCTTTACACTGGTCAATGTTAGTAATGCAGCATGATTTTGCCTTTCTTGTGAAAAAATATATTAACTATTCTTGGATTTTCTTAGTATTAATGTTTTTTTTTGTACCACAGTCTAAAAAACACATTAGCTATTCACTTCAGTGTCATTTGGTTAGTGCCAAGAAAAGAGTTTTCAAATTCTGAAAATTACCATCAACAGAGAACAAATTAATAAATTAGTACTAAAGAGAGAATCATTCTGGTATTTTTATACAAATCATCTAATTCACAGCTATATTATAGCACCATCACAGTGTTCCCATTCTTCAAAGTGATTAATTAATTACGCTGTGCTAAAAAATTGATATAAAACAACAGAACTCTCACAAGAAATAAACATGTTAAAAACTGGAAGGTTCTGAGAATTTTGGATTTAACAGTGCGGTACAGACATTATTTTGTAGGACAATATAAATTTCTAAGTTAATCAAAAATTGGAGAGTAATTTCTTTGAACACATTTATCCTCTTCTAAAGTGCTATTAAATGTCTGCAGCAATAAAAAATATTTAACTGCTGAAAGACAGCCTTGAAATAATATACAGTTTTGAGGATTTAGATAATAAGTACAGATTTTTTTCTGGCATGTTTATACCCTCAGTATTTACTAGTTAATTGAGTGAAAGTGACCTAATAAGCTGACAAAAACACTCCATTTATGTGAGAGGGAATTATAAGAGACGCTTATGTGCTTTGATTTAATAAAAAGAAAAATGAAGAAAAACTAGACTAGCTATTTTACTTAAAAGGAACATCTCCAAACTGGGACAGTATAAATAGATTCATTTTTTCAATTTTGATTGTACACTTACTGGATTGTATAGTACTGTATACTGTACTATTTGTAAAATCTGACCTTCCTAATTTTTCCCCTCAATTCACTTAGTGAAGCAATTTCCCTCTGCAGCCCTGACCTTCGAGTTGGGCTCCTTAAGCTGGATGAACCGGGTTCTCTTCTAAATGTAATACCATTCTCTTTGGGATTCTTTCGGATGAAAGCTGCTATAAATATATTGCAAGGATTTGTATGATTGATTCTGATTTCTAGAAGATAGACTTTTAAAATATAACATTTTTCATATTCTTTACATACTGTAGAGCTAAAAACATTAAGTATCAGAATGATGGGCTTAGCAGGCTTGATCATTTGTTCTTCCCAAATTTTTGCTTTAATCATACTTTAAACATACAGTATTCATTGCAGGTCCAACAGTGTGAAAAAAGGAATGGCAAAACAAGTAATTAAAAATGGCAGTGAAAAGAAATGAGGAGGCTGAAAGATGTGAAACCAAAACTCACAACTAAATAGCACTGGTTGGAAACAGGAAAAATACAAGAGAGATGAGAACGACAGAGCTTCTCCTGTTAGGATGAATTATGTTTTTGTCAATATAATTGACTTATTCTGCCAGCACAACAGTTTTCAGCCAAAGACCACTGTTATGCCAAAAGACCCTGTGAGCTTTGGACTTCAAGCAAATTCAGGTACATTATTTAAGTTATCTGAAAATTAAAAGGTTTGGCCTTTATTCTAATAACTCCATGATAGCAGTGAATATTAATATTATGAATATTATGTTAGCAGTGATTATTAATAATTAAACGACTTTATGACCATAGCAGAACTTAGAACTGCTCAAAAAGGCAGGTTTCTAGAATAACTAATGTGCTCTCAGTGACCTACTATAACTTCACAATAAAACTAACCTGCCAAAAATGTGAAAAATTTAAAAATGTTATTTTGGTGTTATTTTTTTAAATTAGACCAAAGCTCTTTAAATTGCTCTTTAAAACAGTCTAACAGTGCAGTAAGGAAATCAACAGAAAAGGTTATGAAAGGGGTATCAGACTTTCTCACACAAGAAAAACACAGGGGATTATTGTTAATGTCGATTGTACAGGCACAGAGACAGGGACTTCAGAGGAATTGGAATGTGACACGCATCTAGGCTAAGTAACAGTAACAGCCACATAGTTAAGATTCACAGTTAGATTTAAATAAGCACCAAAATACAGTAAAAAGAAGTTACCAGAGATTAAAGGCAGATTCACAGCAGCAAGTTACCACAATCACTCCACACTCCACATTATTAATTACAAAGGCATGGGATCTTTCAAAACATTTCATTCTAGAACAAAGGAAAAACAAGATTTTCCGAGGAAACTGTCATAAATTTTCTCTATTGCTTTCCTAATTAAACTCTTCTTTAAATGAAAAATCTACACGTATACACAATCATGGCACTTTTTCTGTCACTATCTGGTGTTTTCTTAGACTTGCAGAACCTATTGCTCTCCCTTTCAAACTACAGTAATTTTACCTTTCAGCCCTAAAAAGCTTTGAAAAACTTCCTACAGAAGGCTTCTGCAGAAAACATAAATTCTCATACTTAAAACATTTTCTTCCTACTCCAAAAGATAACTGAAGAACCACTGACTACTGAAAATGACTACTGCATTTTGTTAAAAAAAAACACTTGCACCGTACAGTACAGTAGCAAAATATGTAAAATGAAACTCCATGCTGCGCTCTTCAGTTACACACTTCACTCTAGTGGCTTTTCCCTGAAACACCTCCAGCAGTCTCCTTCTAGAGGAAGTCCAAAGATATCAAGTGTCAGGCAAGCAGAGGGCAGAGAAAGTAGAAACAGAGAACTAAATCCCTGCCAGACAGCCTCACTCCTTGGAGAATACTGTATCTCAGAACCTGTTGATGCGTCTTCACCTGCCAGGGAGAAGAGGCAGAAAATAGAGAATTAAAGACGAGGAGCAGGGGAGAGCAAAACAAGCTGTGCAAGTCATGGGTGGAAGCAAAAAAAGGCAGAGACTGTACAACAACCTGTAGGGGAAAGATAGGACATGGATTATGTTGAGTCAGAGAGCAGAGGGCTGAGTGAAAGAGAGGGAGGGGGAGAGAGAGAGAGGGGAGGGGGTGGAGGAAAAGAGAGAGGGAGAGACGTAGGATAAATCCTTGCAACATAATGATTAGGGCTCACAAGCCCTTCACATGACATGAAGAGTAGAGACCAGGATTACAACTGAATAGAATAAGCAAGAAAAGGGGGAGGGGTTGTGCAGGAATCCGTGCACAACCTGGCTGAGATAGCTCTCCCAACTTCCAGAAAGCACTTTGCTGTTCGTACTGCCTTTTGCCATCTGCACGGATGAGCCCGCCTGCCTGGCAGTTTAACTCCTGCATCTGGAGAGCTGGGAGATATTTAATGGAAGAACGCTGGAGCCAGCTGCATCACACTGGACCCCTCAGAGCCAAGAGGATGGGCAGAGAGTTTGCCAACGAGACTTTATAGGGGCAAAAATAAAAAGGAAAAGAGGGTCAAAAGAGATGAGACACAGAACGGAATGTATTTGTTGCTTGCGTAAAAGTCAGTCCACTTTTCTCTTCTTTCTTTTTGAATAGAGGTTTGTGGAGGGTTATAGATTAGACAGCTGATTGAAGGTGAAAAGGCTGGTCTGGTCCCTGTAAGGGAGCTGCATTCCGACACACAGAGACTCACGTACACACACACACTCTCCTGCTCTCACTCGCTCTCTAGTCTGACTGTCACACACAGCGTCTCGGCTGCCTACCTGCTCTCACCTACCCCAGGCGGATATCGCAACTTTAATTCTCCCCTAGAAGCCGTCAAACAGGAAATTTACGAAGGGCTTGCTGGTACTTTCTCCTTCCTCCCCACCATCAAACATTCACTCTCCCCAGCAGCAGCAGCTCTCCGGCAAACAGCAAAGGGGATAATGTGACCTTCTGCCAAGTGCTGGACAGCATGCCACCCTCACAGCGGGCACCGCTGACACAGAAATAGACTCAAACAAGTGCTGAGAACGAACCTGAGGCAGGTGAGCACCACCAGGGGATGAGCCTTCAGGAGTCTGGGCTGGATGTGGATTGCCAACACAGGTACGAACCGCACCTCAAATCCCGAAAGACTCTGTGCTTCCCTTCATGTATTTATACTTTTGCATCTTTCCAGGAAAGGTAACACTTTTGTTTCCTTTTTCCAAATCTTGATGTTGAGTTTCTAGGATTTGAGGACATGACAGTTCATATCACTATAAATATTATTCTTTTTAGGCACAGCTGCCTTCATGCAGCTTTAAATCTTATTTTTTTCTGCCTAGGGAATTAGGGAAGAGACAAGAGAATTCAGTCTCACCTTGGTTTCACAGCAGAGTTGCATTCAGTTTTAAACAGGTGATGCTAAGTATGGATCAAAGCCGTGCAACTAATCTGCACAGGTTTGCTTCAAGGAATGTGACGAGAGGCAAACATCTGTCTAGCTGGTTATAGATTTTCACGGCACCGTGTAACAGATTTAGCTCACTGTGAATTCCTTTTGCCTGAAAGACATGTTTTGTTGAATAACATACAGGAGGGTTTGCTTTGAACTGTTGCAGCCTTGTGATGTAAGTTTCCCTCTTAAAAAGGATTAGATCATGAAGCATCGATTAGCTATTATTTTTTCACTTTAGTATTGTAATCAAACAAAACAGGAGATGGCTATGAGTGTTTGTGTTTAATAAATACACTACATATCGTGCTGTTATACAGAATAAGAAATACGAATCATATTGTTTAGCAGGTTGATACATTTCTGGTTTTATAAACTGCTGAATCAAGGTGTTGGTATTTTCCCTTTAATGTGACCAACATGTGAGAATGAAATATTAATCTCTGTGCTTTTGTGCAGTACAGTTTGCATAAGAGTCTTCAGTTTGCAAGAGTAAAAGAGTAAAGCATGCAACTGATACAGCTGCTGTGAAATTGCTTTTTTATTTTTGTTCCCATATCACAAACATACTTGTAGTCAATGTACATATTTCTACGCACAAGCATACTGTACATATAGTATATAGTATAGTAAAAATTATAGTATACATATAGTACTTGAGTCTTTTTCTCAAGTTCTTTCACTAGCAGTTCGTGTCTTATGTAAATGGAGATTTGTCCTGTTTATCTGTTGCTGCAGGATCCACTGTAATGGACATTTTTCATTACTCTATCAGAGATGCGAGACTGCTCCAACTGTTGCAGCGAGCAGAGAGAAGGAGTTGAGTAAACAGTGCCTTTGCTCTCAGTTAAAGATGCTGCACTTAGGCTTTGTGAAGAGATACAGCCAGTCTGTCTCTGGAAAAAAAGGCACAAATGAACTGCCCACTGCAAGAGAGTAAATTGTGAAGCAGATGACTAGATATACTGTATGCTGGGAATGTGACAGGAATGTGTGACCGTCAGTCCTGCCATGAAAGAGATGGGGGCTGTAATTGCCTTGCAAAAGCTAAGGGGCATTTTCCTTTTTTAATTCTCCCTCTCCCTGTTTTATTCAGTGGATTTTCCCTTGGCTCCCCTCAGCAGCATTTCTGCCTGCTACTCTTTTGTTTGTCTCTGCTCCTTTTCAAAGTTTCGTGTTTCCTGATCTGACTGAAGAGAAGTCCGCTGCACTTAGCCTTTAGCGCGACATCTGGAGACTGATGATATTCATGGTTTATCTCTCTGTCTTTCAAAAACAATCTGAACTCTACCTAGTCAAATGATCTTTTAAAAAGACCTGTTAATCCAGAATGGATTCTATTAATTAAATCACTTCACACTCGTTTTTTTTTGCATTGTGAGGTTTTTAGCACTTTCATATTGTATTAGTAAAAGTTTATCAGACTCTACTTACATGGCTGTCTCATCCATTCCAGATTTATCATTTCTGTAAGCCATCACATGTGAATGTTACTGTTGTTCACTGTGCTTTCCCGACTTTACAATGGGAATACTAGAGCATACCATTGTACTGAAAACATTTATTTCCACAGACACTATAGAAAATCCATGATCACATAACAGTTATGACATAGAGCATGTTGGAAATAAAACATAGAAAACTGGCAGTGTTGTTCTTATGCAATTCCAAATATGATGCCTCATAATTTGTGCATGAAATTGCAGTTTGGAAACCTACAATTAATCAAACCGCTGTGAAATGAGAGTTCTATTGAACAGTTGCTGCAATATTAATACTTTATGTATAAATCAGCTGCTTACCTATACAGAAGGTGCAGTACTTGAGTATCAATAGGGCGAGTTAGTGGCATCTGCGTTAGTCTGCTTGACTGCTGAAAGTGGATGATTGTGCATTAGAAATGTCTTTATATGGAAGTTATGCATTTTACAAACATCCTTGTGTGTCAAATGAGGTATGCACTCCTCAAGCTCAAGAAAAATATTTATTTTCTTTATGCTGCTGTGTAGAAGTCTTAAACATTTAAACACAATCAGGAGTTACAATACATAAGTACCTGTAGGTTCACATACGATATTACCTAAGGTTCACATCTATTATCTTCTGTCAAACCATATACAGGATCTGCAGCAGCTCAAATCTGAAATACCTCAAATGGTACTGTTTTTCTTTTTTACCCCCGTGCATTTTTACAAGATCAGTGTGGAATTTTTCTGTTCCTTTTCTATGAAAGAAGTGAGTTATAGATAACAACCGAGTCAGGTCCTGTGTGTAGAGTATGTACTTGAAGTACCACATGGTTTAATCTGGCGAGACTTCGCCCAGATGAGTTTGCTGTTGGACTGATGCTTTTCAAGTGGCGAGGACATGTGTTTAGTGGTATGGAGAGGTAGTAGATAGAATCTGGGAATGTGCCAGTCACAGTTCAATAACTGTTTATGGTAACAAGTGCTTCAGCTTTCATCCGCTTGCATATGTTCTTCATTGGTGCTGTTCTGAGTGTAAACAGTGGTACTGATAAAATGCTTTTTGCTGAAAACAGCCTGTGGGCGCTTTTAGAATGCCATACTCATAGCAAAGTGCAGAATCAAGGAAAATCTGGGATACCTTTCATACTTCAATGTATAGAAGGTGATCCCTGAAATCATTGCTACAATCAAAGGACCAGAGTAAATTATACAGTATAATACTGTACAATAGTATGAAAAAACGACACTTAAATTTAGCTGTTTAGATTTGGCTGTTTAGAAGTACATAATATGCTACAAATAAAATATGATACATTTCCAAAGCACTCAAACAGTATATACAAACTACGCTTGTTAGTAAGATACAATTAGAAGTTAGAATACAACCAGGACAAAAGCATTCATCTCATTACAGCCAACACTTTATTAGTAATACTTCCTCTAAAATAACTTGCAGTGCGTATTATAAAATGCAGTTTCACATCCAACTGAGTTTCAGGTACAAAAACATGAAGTTATCAACAAATACAAGGTACGTCAAGGCTTTAGTTACACCATTTTAGATTTCAAGATATTTCTGAAGCTAGAAAAATTCAGCAAGACTTAAAAGAGTTTTTGAATTTTGAGAACGCCAGAAGAAGTGGGATCTTGACTATGCAGCTAGAAAGCATTACAATCGTCATGTTTTATTGCTATCCATATTGCAAAATTCCTGTGTTTGTTTTTAGTCAACAGAATGCTCTCACATTCTAAAAAGCATATCATACTTGGTGATTGCAGTCTAATAGCTAAATAAAAATATATAGATCAAACTGTTTTTGTGCTGGGCAGCAATGCTATTCTACTGTAGTGTAAATTGTAGAACTGGACACAGCTGCTAATACACCTGTCCAGGCAGAGAAATGTGCCAGATTGAAAGAGAAAAGGTTGAAAGTGTATGGTGATTAACAGGCTTTGCTCATTAATTGAGTAAACAACACCAACAATGCTATTAGAGAAGCTCAAGGGCAGCAGGCTGGCAGAGAGTGATTCCTTCTTCTGAGGAATCGACAGTGAGAGTGCATTACACATAGAAAAACAAAGTTACGGCACAATTATACAGTGTTCCCATCTCACACACCCCCAAAACAGACCCTGGGGTCACAACATGTGTTGCCAGCTTCACACTGAGTTTTGATACTGTTCGCATCAACACAAGACAGAGGGAGGTTTCTGTTCCGTGCTCAACTGTCATATCGAGGGACACCACTTTTAATTTGCATCAAGCAAAGAGACTGGGAGACAGGGTGGCAATGAAGCACACACTATAAAATCTATTCTTGGCAGAAGCTCAGTCTCCAAGGTCATACTAAAAGCAATCGTACACTCCCAGGGACTTCTGTGGCTCAGTTCTTCTGCGATCCCTCAACACTTCATGTCCTTTACAGCAGAAGAATCTCTGACCACTGGATGTGTACAGTATGCATGTTTGCAGTTTTCGAAACAAGGCAGTAGTTTCAAAGGTTAATGTATTTATACTGTATGCGAACAAGCACACTCCTCCTTTTTGTATTGATCAAAAAAAGGATTTATCTTCTTCAAACATTCTGTCCACAGATTAAACTATGTGCCACAAATACCGGCACACGACCGAAACTGGGAGTTTTCAATAGGACGTCTATGTTTCTGATGCAGATCTCGATCCGTTTCTGATTCAGTTCAGATCCAGAATTATTAGGATTGTTAGCGGTGGTAGTAGAACTAGATATTTGCTTTTATGGAGTAATACCTGAATTAACCCTAATACATGTGAGGACACACCATATTATAAGTGTATACAGTACAAAATCAAACAGTATGTACAATTACCTGAATAACATTAGTTAATACAAAGAAAAAACATGAATGTACACTAACTTGTATTGTAACAACATATAAAATATTTTAGATGTAAAGAAATCCTATAGGATTCAACAAGATGTGACACATCTACTGTACAACTGAGGAACAAAAGCAGGAGATTCATGTTTCTATGAGACCTAGACTGTCAAGAGGGAGAGGACAGATAAGGTAGAAATGAAGTCCACTTTGTAGCCTGGCAGATTCAGGGACCAACGGAGGAAGAACAGAAGGATAAAGGAGGGAATTAAATAAATACATACATTTGTGTCATTAATTTAAATTTCCTAGACTGATTAATGTAAAAATCAGAACACTTATTG